ACGGCCTAAAATTGAACACGACGTTTTCGGCACAAAACGCAGTGCTTTCGCGAGTGCGACGAACTCCCACGGCAGCGCGCGCACGACACCATGTCATGAACGCGGCCGCAGAAAACAGCGAAAGGGAGAGAGAGAAAAGAAAGAACAAATAGAGAGAGAAAGAAAGAAGAGGAGAGAAGGAAACGGGCGGAGAACGGCAGATTTGCGGTCGAGCGCCCCTCGGCCACCGTGCCCAGCTGCACGAATTCGGGCGAAGAGCCGGCACGCCCCAGCGGGGTCAGCCGAAGCTCCGCCTCCGGGAGGCGAGCGCGGGAGGAAGGATGAGAGAGGGGGATGTGCGGCCAGCCGCGGGCCGCTTGGCGCTCTCGTGCAGCGACCGCTGGGTGGAGGGGGGGAAAAGAGGAGAGTGGGGACAAGAGAGGCAGCGGGTGATGAGGAAAAAGAGCGGTCTCAAATGTAACCGCGTCTGGGCCGACCCTGTCCCGGCCGCGTGGCCGCTGGCGCCGGCGCGCGCTGGCCTCGGCTCGTTGGCCCTCGCCCGCAACGCAGCACTGAGAACCTGAGCGGGAGGGAGAGGAGGAGGCGGAGGAGGAGGATGACGAGGAGGAGGAGGAGGAGGAGGAGGAGGAGGAGGAGGAGGAGGGGGAGGAGGAGGAGGAGAAGGAGGAGGAGAGGGCAAACATCAAAGGATAATGGCGCTTCATGAGACACACCATGCCCGTGAGCGCTACAGGAGCTCCCGCAGAGTCAGCGTCAGCGCGATCACGCAGATGACCGGGCTGACCTCCGCATCGTGCCGAGCCCAGCAGTGGGTCGAGTAGACGCTGGCAGTGACGAGCGCCCGGCGCTGCAACTCAAGGGCGGCGCCGTCGGCATGGGGCGGCGACAGCAGGAGTGTGGAGAGTCTTTCCTCCTGGGACGCCGGCCAGGGGAAACCCAGTTGGCTGGCGGCCGCGACCGCGACGCGAAAGCAGTCTTCATAATGTTCGATTGAGTCATGTCCCGTCGCACATCCGAAGCAGCGCCTAGCGCGTCCTTGGAACCGCCGGGCCGCAACCCACCCATGCCACAGCGAACGCAAGCACGCGGCCAATGCTCGCGGAGGGATTCGGCGCGCCACCGCAGGGTACGCGCGCAGGGCGCGGTCGGTCATCACTTGCTCCGACAGGCCGAACGCCCAGCGGGACAGCCGGTGCCGCAGGAAGCGCGCCAGGGGCGCCCCGGTCTGGCTCGACCAGACGCGCGCAGGTTCGTTGCCACGATTTCTTTAGCAACGCTGGGTCCGAGGTGTCCGCTGCGAGTGCCACCTCGCGCGGGCCCATGCTGCGCTGTTGTCAGTCATTGCGGGCATCGTCCAGCTGCAAGAGGGAAGCGCTGTCGAACCAGCTGTTCCGCCTCCCCAAGGGGCCCGACGACGCCGAGGCGTGCAGACGCGCTGACCGGAGCTTCGCCACCCGCGCAGCCAGGCGTAGTCCACCTTCTGCGGCTGCCTCCCACTGGCAGCACTTGGCCGCCAGCGCCGTGGAGTGAAGGTTTGGGAGACGGGTCGGGAATCCCAGGAGGGGAAAACAGTGCAGGGTGGCGGCTGGCGCCCACCGACCAGGACCGACGTAGAGGGACTGCAGCGCGGCACTCTCCAACTGCCTCCAATTCGACGGCGGCGCGTCCAACTGGACCAGAAAGCTCATGGTGGAGAATGCATAAGCTGAGTGCCCGATTCTGTTGGCCAGCGTACCGCCTCGCGATCGACCTCAAGCGCGAGCCCTCTGAAGAAACTTGGCGCTGGCTGAAGCCCAGCCCAATTCCCCTCGATCTGGCCCGAGAAGGAAGGCCAAGTACCTGGCCCGGTGCGCGAATCGCAACCCGCACCAAGACGGTGCCAGGGCTCCCACCTCCTGCCGCGACCCGACGTTCAGGCGGAGACCCGACAGGGCGGCGTAGTCCCCGAAGATCGGTTCCAGAACGCCCGCGTCAGCTGCCCCGCTTTTGGTCACCACTGCCAGGTCATCCGCGTAGGCGCGGCGGACAGCGTCGGGAAGGGCCCTTCCGAGGCGCAGGAGAAGCAGGTCTGCGGCCACTGCAAAGAGCAATGGGGAAAGTGGGCATCCCTGGCGTATTCCTGCAGTCACGGGGAATCTCTCGTGCTCCTCGCCGGCAACGACCAAGCAGCAGCGGCTCTGGACGTACAATGATTTGAGGCACTGCAGCGGCCCAGCTGGGATGCCAGAGTCTGCGAGCACGTCCAGTAGGAAGTCCTGGCCCACGCTGGGGAAAGCGGCCGCAGAATCGAAGAAGATCGCCGCGCCGTCCTCGCAGGATAGCGACGCCGTCAGCACCGCCTCGTCCACGTCTATGACGTTTGCTGGCATGGATCCCCCCCCCGGGGACACCCTGCCGTTCTGGCGAGACCTTGGCCGCGAGGAGCGGTTCGAGCCATTGGCGGACCGCGCCTGCCAGCAGCCTGTTGTCAGCGTTCACCGAGCTCATCGCGGGGCGCCGTCGCCCTCCGCAGTGGGGGTCCTCGGCAAGAACACCAGAAGTCTGTCATTATATATCCGGAGGTCGCGCAGGATGGCCTCCTGAGCGTCGTGGCTGGATAGCTGCTCGCGCGCGGAATAGAGGACGTCGACTGCGAGCGGGCCAACGCGCTTCCAGGCGGCAGACGGCAGGCCGTCTGGGCCTGGCGCCGTGGAAGGCGCCCGTTCGATGGCATCTCGTACGTCTCGAGGGCGCGGGAGCCATCTCGAGTCGGCCGCTGGCGGAAGCCCAGAGCCCCCCCCCGCGCAGTCCGCGCGCGCCGCTTATCGCGGAGCCAACTCCTGCGGAGGGCGCTGTCAAGGGGCGTCGCCCTGAAGACCTCGCCCCAGTAATCGCGAAGGGCCTGTGCCACGTCATCTGGGTCGGTGACGACTTCGCCCGCTGGAGTCTGAATTGATGGGATCGACTGGGAGCGCCCCGGCGCAAGCCTCGAGATGAGGCGCCAATTGCGACTCCGCCGCGCGGCCGCCTGCCGAGCGTGCAAGCCGGGGAGCTCCTCAGAGAATCGCCGAAGCTCCTCGACGGCGCGTTCTCGAGCAAGCTCGACGGCATCTCTGCGAACCGCCTGCAGACGACCTGCCTGTCTCAGCTGCGGCGAGTAAGGGTTGTCGACGAGCTTGGCAAGCGCGGGGTATCGCTCGATGCACTTGCTGATGCGCCCCGAGTGTCCTCCCTCTGCAGCCCTGAGAAACTACATGGTGACACCCAGCTTGTCTTCTGCTGCCTCGGCTGGATGCCCCTCGCGGCGATCACGCGAGATGCTTTCAGCCAACGCCCGCATGCAATCTTTCAGCAGCGCCAGTCTGCGGAGCGGCGTCGCCGTGGTCTCTGCCGCAGTCGCCGCCTCGTGGTAAGCCAAAGTCACCAGGTGCGCGTATTCTTCTTGCTGGACTGCTGCGGCCGGAAACGGGCGGGACGCACCGCTCGCCCAGCAAGGCAATCGTCGCCCGGCTGCGACGGCACGGTGATGCGAGAGCTATGGCTGTCATTCCAGCGCCACTGCGAACAGATCGCGGTCGATCTGTTCGCAACATCTTGATTCCAATGAATGCGGTCTAGCCTCGAATGCGCACTGCTTCTGCGATGGGTCATCGCTGGTTGGTGCAGCTCGTGCAAGCCGAAGGGGCGAAGTGCGACCTGTTCCCAATGCCGCTCTTCAGCTCGATCTCGCACGCCAGAGGCGTGGCCGGTGCTGAGCGTGATACGGTCCGAATCCTCGGTGGCCCAATTGAAGTCCCTCGCAATCACGGTGAGGGATGACAAGGTCTAATCTGAATCTGCGTAGCACGTCACTCCGATGAACCCGCCAGCAGCCCTCGAAAGTGGCGACAGCTTCGTAGATCACAGCCCCACAGGGATGGCGAGTTCAAATCTGAATCTGCTTAGCACGTCACTCCGCTGAACCCGCCAGCACCTCTCGGAAGTAGCGACAGTTTCGCAGATCGCAGCCCGACAGGGATAGCGACGTTTAATCTGAATCTGCGTAGCACGTCACTCCGATGGACCCCCCCCGGCAACCCTCGAAAGTGGCGACAGCTTCGCGAATCGCAACCCCACAGGGATGGCGAGGTCGAATCTGAATCTGCGTAGCACATCACTCCGCTGGAAGCCCCAGCAACCCTCGAAAGTGGCGACAGTTTCGCAGATCGCAGCCCCACAATGATGGCGATTTCTCATCTGAATCTGCGTAGCATGTCACTCCGCTGGACCCCCCAGCAACCCTCGAAAGTGGCGACAGCTTCGCGAATCGCAACCCCACAGGGATGGCGAGGTCGAATCTGAATCTGCGTAGCACGTCACTCCGCTGGACGCCCCAGCAACCCTCGAAAGTGGCGACAGTTTCGCAGATCGCAGCCCCGCAATGATGGCGATTTCTAATCTGAATATGCGTAGCACGTCACTCGCTGCCCCCCCCCCAGCAGCCTTCGAAAGTGGCGACAATTTGAAAGATCGCAGCCTCACGGGAATGGCGAGGTCTAGCCTGAATCTGCGTAGCAAGTCACTCCGCTGGACCCCCCAACAAGCACCTCTCGAAAGTGGCGACAGTTTCGCAGAACGCAGCCCTACAAGGATGGCGAGGTCGAATCTGAATCTGCGTAGCAAGTCACTCCGCTGGACCCCTCCAGCAGCTCTCGAAAGTGGCGACAGTTTCGCACATCGCAGCCCCCCACCGAGCATCCAGGCAGCGCGACGAGATAGGAGGCAGGGTAGCAGGCAGGAGTAATAAGAGGCAGGAGAGAAGAGGAAGGAAGGAGGGAGGCGGGAGAAGGAAGGTGGAGACCACAGTGCTGTGTTCAAAACGAGTACCCAACGCAGGAGGTCTGGGGCACATTGGGACATCGTGAAAAACTATGACTGGAACCCCGGACCCCACCTTTCTGCGAACCGGATGGATCTGTGAGGCCCTGCGGCCCGAAACCGGGCGAAAACGCCAGGCTCGAACAAAATTGGGACGCCCGAGCCTCCGACAGCCCACGGGGCCCGCCGTCCCCGGCGGCCGCGGGCGCGGAGGGCGCGGCTCCCGCGCGAGCGGCCGTGCGTGCGGCCGCGCCTCCGTCCGGCAGCCAGGTGCCTGGAGCGGCTCGCAGGCGGCGGGGGCACGGGCCCTCCGCTGCGGGCCACCCGTCGCGGGCGCAGGGCACGCCGGGAGCCTGCAGCCCTGCGGCCCCAGCGCAGGGTGTGGGCGCCGAGGGCGTCCCCGCAGCGGGGTGGCCTGCGCGGAGGTGCGCCTGCGGGCCCCGAGAGTGCACATGTCACGGCCACCTCCATGCCCCCCTCCCTCCTCCACCCTCCTCTTCCCCTTCCCCTGCCCAGGAGAAGGGAGGGGGTGAGGGAGGCCCCGGGATGCGACATCGTAAAACATCGGGAAGCAGCACGGCCCGGGCCCCAGACCCGATCTTTCTGCACCATTTTCCGAGGCGGATCGGTCATTGAGGGTCCCGCGGCCCGTAACCTGGCGAAAGCTCCTGGCTCGAAAAAATTGAGACGCCCGTGGGCGGCGAGCGAGGGGGGGAACAGAGAAGGAGAAAGCCCTCTCAGAAGGCGGCTGGGCTTCTCAGAAGGCCTCGCGCCTTCTGAAAGGTTTTCTGAGTCTTCGGCAGAGCTTAGAACACTGCTCGGAAGGCCCGGGGACTTCCGAGCCCTCTGAGAAGGTCCGCCCCTTCTCATTCCTCCCCCAGGCTCGCCGCCGAGCCCCGATCTCAAGGGAAGGGGCGGTGGTGTACATTCTTGGGCCCCGCAGCTCCTGCCAGGCCGTCTTCACCATTTCGGCTCGCCAGAGCCTCGCGGCGGACGGCGCCCGTGCGGCTGCGCGGCGGCCAGCGGTTGCGTGGCCGCCTGGGCGGCGTGCGCCCAGGGGGGGCTCAAGGCGGGAAGGCGTTTGAGCCACAAGGTGGGCCTGGGACGCCTGTGAGAGCACGTCGGGGCCACCTTCGGCTCCTGGGGGCTCTCGGGGAGCACCTCTTGGGCTGTCATGGGGCCTGCTCGCCTGGGTCCCGGTTGGGGCCCTCTTTCGCTCTGGGTCGCCTCGGGGGTGCGGGGGTGCCCCGGAGCGTCTTCCGGTGAATTGCGGCTACAATTCTACGGAGCTGTGCCATCCGTCCGCTCGAGGCCGCGGGCTGGTGGTGGTGCCCATCACGGCAGGAAGCACTGGACAGGCACATTGAGTGGGAAAGCGTTGAACGATTGGATGCCGGTCCGCCTCCAAAAAGGAAAGGACGGGGAACAAGAGGGCCCTTCGCGTCTGGAAGCAGAAAGAGGCCTTGAACTGCATAGCGATCGGATGCTCCGAAGATGTGCGGCCGACTCAGGAAACCCTGAATCTGACAAATCTTGATGTGGCACTCTTCCTTCCGCCGCCCTCCGTCGAACTTGCGCCAGCTCCCCTCGGCGGAAGCACCCACATCTTGACCTCGCCGCCTTCTGCCGAGGGCGAGGCGCTCCGAAGGGGAGGGCCTCTCCGGAACGCCCGATCTGATGCTCCGAAGATCTGTGCTCGCGCCTCGAGCGGTACCCCGCCCTCGATATGATGTTGGGGATGGGCTGCCGTGCGAGGTGGCCATCCTCACTCTCAGATCGAGGATGTCACTCGCACGGTGCGATCCTCTCGATCATTGAGAAAAGCGCGCCGTGCGAGGGCCCTGCGCTGCGCTGCGTTTCGAGCACCAGTCCCATGTGAATGCGCGGGGTCTAAAGACTGGGTCCGGCTCTGTCGACATGCCGGGCCAATCGAGCCAGGGGGGAGGTTCCCTGATGGCCAGCGCTGCTGTAGGAAAGAGGACAACTCCAGACGACGATCGCGAGGGGCAAAGGGCGAGGATGCAGGGAGTGCTCTCACAGAGGCTGCGCTTGTGCGTAACCGTGGCTTCTTCGGTGGCCCTCCGGGGATGGGCCGGGGGTGCGGACGGGGGCGCGCCAGGTCCAGGGCATCGCAGGCTGCTCCTCCGACGTCGCCCAGCGAGGTAAGGGGGAAGAGGGAGGACAAAGGAGAGCGAGGAGGGAGGAGAGGAGGAGAAGGGGAAGGGAGTCTAGAGGGGAGGACGTAGGGGGGAAACCTTCGGAAGAGGAGGAGGAGGAAGAGGAGGAGGAGGAGTCCACGTAGCACGCGGGGAACAAACCATGCAACCACTCTACTACAGATTGCCTCCGCGAGACTGCGTGCAGAATCATATGGCCCCCTCTCGTCCTGACCCTGGTGCTCACCAGTTTGTACAACACCAAAGCGTGCGAAAGAGACAACATTCGGTATCGCTCATCCTGGCTCAAGCCATTCGTGCTGCGAGCGCGTGATATGGAGCGGGACATGCGAAAAAGGGGTCGGGACGACGACGCCAGCAAGCCCCTGAGACTGGCATACGAGAAGGGCCGAATGCCTAGCCTGTGTGGTAATGCTATAAATTCCGAGACGATGTGGGTGACACGCCAATTCGGCACGGAGATTATGAAAGATATGGAAACTCAGCGCGGTGAGCTCGTGGGCCCGCTGCTGTGTCGGCAACCGATCCGAGGCCAAGACGACCCACGGGATCAGGAAGAAAAAGCGGGCGACCAGGGAGGGCGAGGAGGTGAAATAAACGGGGGCAGGAAAGATCATGGGCAAGAGCGTCGGGGGCAGGTTCGCATCATAATATACATGAGAGGGGCGTCAAAATGTGGACGCGTTGCGAGCTGAACCACGCCCCCGCCAGTGTCCTGAGGCGAGCCCAGACTCGCATGGGCGTCGGCGCTTGCAAAACCATTTTTCAGCCCTGCCACCGCACCCTCATCTCCTCGATTCCTGGAAGGGCATCGAAGCAGAGTGCGGAGACGGGGCGACGGTGGAAGAGGAAGTGGAGATCGCCAAGGAGGAGGCGAACAGTGAGGAAATACATAAGAAGAGACCGCGAGCCGACCCGCCCTGTGCTCCGACGTCGAGCCCGCGCCTGGCGGACGCCCAGCTCCGCGGGGGCAAAGGTCTGCCGCGACACTCCGCGCGCGGGGACGGGCAATGCTGCGCGCCGTGGCCCGCGTCCGCTCCAGGAGGCGAACTGCCGTGCAATACCGCGGCGGACGCGCCAACGCGGCGCCGACCATTCGCCGCGAACGACCGCGACGATTGGGGGGGGGACGGGCTGCGGGGCTCCTGAACGGAGCCAGCTACCTAAACTGAATGGTTCACTTTTCTTGAAAGTATTGGGCGGAAGGCGAAACATCTTGTGCAAGGCCCAGGGCCATTTGCGAAGTATGTGGGGCGAGACCGAAAATAGTTGAGCAAAGTAACTGGGGGCAGACGCACGCCGATATCATACTAGACGATGGGGGCTGCGGTTGGCGCTCGACCCCCCCCGTCACCCGCGCGCGAACCCGCCGCTTCTGGCCAGCAGCCTCCCATTCGTCCTCGGGTGTGGCACCAGGCCCTATCAGGACTCCTAAATTCTCGGCAACGGATTCAATCGCGAATGATGCCCATGTCGGGGGCTCGCTCTGCAAGGAAAGCTTGATTGTCTGACGCGCGGCGGGGCCCGCGAGGCTCCGGGGCGGGACGAGGCGGCACTTTTTCGGTTGAAGGAGCAGGCCAGCATGAGCAGCAGCAGCAGCAGCATCGCCGAAAGGGGGAAGGAGGGCACGGAGGTGGTCAATCGATCTCAGTGCTGCCCCAACATCGCCCGCACACGCCCCAGGGTCATCGCTGCTCCCTCCCAGAACGAGGTGCCCGATAATGAAGTCCACCACAAGAGCCCAGACAGTCCCCGAGAGCGGACAGCCTTGGGGGGGGCCCGAGCGAAAGGCGAACGACTCTCGGATGTCTGATGAGAAAGCCGATGGATGCGTGCACGATGGCTCGGACGGCGCACCTATGCATGCTCGGAATGCGAAATCGGCGAAGCACCTTTCGAAGCCAGATCCGACCCATGTCCGGGAACTCAGCGTTGATCTCTAAGCTGACAAAGGCTGGCATTCGTTGCACTACGTCCTCTCCGAGACTGGCGAGGCCCCACAGGGAGTTTGATCGAACGAGATGCCTGGCAAAGTTTCTGCCGCTCACAATGCCTTGCTGTGCGGCGCGCGCGCGTCCGCGTTGCTCAGCAAACTGGGCCTTAGCATCGCAGCTCGTGAAACTGAGGGGTCGCAGCAAACCTGGCTGGCGGGGGCAATCTGCCGGGTCGAGGCCCTCCTCGCCTTTGGAAATGAACGCGGACAAACTGCGGTTCTGGGGGGGGGGGCCTGGAAGGGCGAGAGGAGAAGAGAGAAGGACATTCGCAAGCCTCGGGCGCGCTTGCCATGCTTTGCACGGGGGCCCATCAGGGCCAGAGGGCAAGGAATTGCCCTTCTTGAGAACCCATCGGAGGCCCCGGGGCAAGGAGGGGGTAAGTCAGCGACCTCGGGTTAGGGGAGGTGGGCTTCAATGAAGGCATCTTGCTGCGGGGTAGCCTCGACTCTCTTGAAACATTGGCCCCCAATGGTCCCGGATGGCTCCTGGAATGTTTTGGCCGCCCCGGGGCGCGGCGTCTCCGCTGCCTTCCTGCGCGCGCCGAATTCCCTGGAGAACGAGTCTTCGACCTTGTGGATTCCAAAGCGAGGCGCGTCGAAACAGGGCTTGATTGGCCCGTCCCCGGGGCAATTCTTGATGCCTCGTTGCAGCTCTTCGAAAGGCCAGAGCCTTGGCCTGCCCGCAGCGGGCCGCGGCATCGCGCGGCGCGACGGCCGCGCCGCCCAGCAGCAGGCGGGCGGCGCCGGCAGCAGTGCGCTCGACCAGCCACTTCGCCAGCCAGCGGCCACAGCGCCAGACGGCGCGCGCGATCGCCCGCGGCGCCATGCACCTGGACTCGACGCCCTCAGCAGTGTTGCGCCCAATCGGAGTCCGCGTCGCGAGGTTGCGAGCGCTCTCGGAGGCGATGGCCATCTGGCGCTTGACGCATGCCCACTGGTGCACCGCCGACAAGCCATCCAGGTCGCAGGCGTCGACGCGCGTGGCCAGCTGCTGACGGTAGAAGTCAGCGTTGAAGATGCAGGCAGGGGTGCTCTGGCGGAGCTTGCGGGGTTCAGCGCGAGGTTCTATCTTAAGCTCGAGGATAGCACGGCCACTGACGTGCCATTGGGCCAGCTCTTGCGCGTCGCACCTCAGGTTGGCTACAATCTGCATCTCCCTGGCATACTGGGGCGGTGAGGATATGAAGACCCGGTCAACGTCGGTCATCTGGTTTTTGTGCCGGTCGATGTGTGTAGGCGCTGGTGCGACTACCTCGGTCATCTTGTGCGAGTTGGAGATGAGCTGCCGGCATGAAGGCTCGCCAAAGTTTGCGCGGCCTCCGTCAGATTGCAGCTAGCGTCGCGCCTAAAGTCGTAGTAGACTCTCACCCGGGTTGCCGCTGAAACTGAAGTCGCCAAGCATGGCAAAGACCATGCGCGAAGGGTCTGCGTGGGCCCAGTTGCCATTTTCGACCAAGCAGTTCTTGATCTGCAAGCGGTCCTGATGATAAAAGGCCACAGTTGTGGATGTTGCAGATGCGGACCTCCGAATGCTGCTTGACATGCTAGATCTTGATGAGCGGCGCCCGCCCCTGGGAAAGGACCTGGCGGGCCGTTACAGGGGCCTCGCCATGGACATGTCCGACGTCGTCGCAAACAGGGGGCAGGGGCGCAACGACGCCAGCACCAGTCTCACCCGTGCCGCTGAAGTAGAGCTTGTACTTGAAAGTGGAGCGGTTGGGAAGATTCTGAAAAGACATACCGTGGCCACGTAGCAAAACGATGATTGCCTTTTGCCTCGTCAATTCATATAGCTCCTAGAGCTTGGCATTGCGCTTCGCAAGATCGCGGCAGAGAAGACCCTTCGCGCTCCACGAAACGATCCTGCAAACCGCGGTATCACCTGGGAACATCCATGGAATCCATCGGGGGCTAGGAAGAAGACCGGGAGGACGTGTCGATGGCACGGAAGAGAGCCCTGAACTTCTAGGAGATGGCTGCGGCGTCCAGCTTGAGGTCGTTCCTGGTGGCAGGGCTCCAGAAGAGCTTCGACGGCAGGTCGGGTCCCCGCGGCGTGGTGCCAGCATGGGCGACGCCTGCAGTGCGCTGCATCCACCAGTCGCCAGGCATGGTTTCCCTGCAGAGCGCGAGGAGCTTTTTTGTCTGGACCTCCTGTATGATGGAGCGCGGGTTCTTGTCAGGGTTGACGTACAGCTTCTCGTCTGTGCCTTCCACCGTGCGGATAGCGAGCTCCGGCCACCTGCCCGAATCGCACTTAAGGTGCGCAGCCAGCTGGAAGGCACGGGCACGTCCATCAGCGGCTCCTGGGACGTACATGTAGCAGCGTTTGGAGGGCTCCTTCTCGTTGATGGTGACCTGCTCTGGCTTGACCTTGGCGGCCTCCAACCATGGCGCCAATCCCAAGAAGACCGCAGCAGGGGTGCACGGCCTGTGGCAGCTGATGACGAAGAGCTGTGGATCGGCGGGTCGGTCCCAGTCCGCCAGGCGCAGCATGTTGAGCCCTGCGCTACGGCCCAGGGAGCCCACGTGCGCACGAGTGGACTGCCTCTCGCGAGTATGGTCGGCCATCCGCTCGTTTTCCGACACCAGCTGCTCCGAGGACGCGCTGAGCCGCGCGATGTCCTGCGCGTGCTTCTCAATATGCTGCGCGCGCGGCTCGAGCTGCCAGGCAATCTCTATGGAGATGTCGCTGAGGGAGGTGGCAACCATGGTCTGGAGAGCCTTGGTGGCGTCCTCCATCTGGCGCTTGAGGACTTCTTGGGTGCGGCGTTCTGCGGCCTCCAGGTCCGATCGCTGCAGGTAGCTGCCAGCGGAGGCAGGGGGGCCAGTGGGCGCGGCAACTGCAGCATTGCGCCCAAACCTCCAGGGGTTCACCTCCACCATGGGATCTCGCGGGCGCTGTCGAGACGGGCCGCGGGCGCCAAAGCGGGAACGTCGCTGCTGCTGGTCCACCATATCTGCACGAGAGCGATCACGAGAAGCGCCCACAGCCCTGTGACGGGTTTTTTGGTGCTGGGAATGGTGACGAAACGTGGGGCGCTCTGCCCCGAAACGACTTGGACCACGGCTACGGATGAGCCAAAGCTAATCGCAGATTCTCGGGCGTCCATAGCCCTTCACAAAGTTCAGCATTGAGCCAAAATGGCTACGGAAGGAGGAAGGGGAGGAGGAGTAGGAGGAGGAGGAGCACGACAAAGATGCATGACAGACCAGCGGTCGGCTTCAAGCCGAGCTTTGAGGAGGACGAAGAGAGAGGGAGGAGCAGGAGGCGGAGGAGGGGTGATGAGGGCGAGAAGGACAAGGACAAAACTCACATGCTCACTGGAGAGTCAAAGTTATTCGACCAATTTGGAAATTACTAATCGTTGAGCGACCTGGACGGGCTGAGCTTTCCCAAACAGCCGACGTTGTGAATTTGTTCGCGGCGTGGCTCGCCAGAGGTCTGGACCCCCTCCCGAAGACCGGTCTTCCATCCTGGGACGGTGCTGGGTCCCAGTACGGCCCCCCAGAGGCCGAAAACAACGAAAAACCCTCCCCTCGCCTATCTTTCCGCGACGCGAAGATGTTAGAGTGTGCACGCTCCCCCATGTGCACGACTCGGGACGTTTTGATGACACCGTCGTTGGCTTCTCTCGGCGGCGCGCACGAGGAGGGAGAGCGAGGGATGTGGCCCTCTAAGCAATGGCTCCTCCTCATCCCTCCCTCCCTCCCACCCACCCTCCTCCTCCCTCCTTGGCCTTCTCCCTTCTGCTCCCTCCTCCTCACTCCTCCTCCTCCATCCTCCATCCCCTTGGGGGCCTTCAGCACCGCCCTTTCTGACGAGCACTTAGGCAAGCCTCTTTCGGGAGCAAAGGACTGCGATACTGCCGGGAACGTTTGCTTGGCGTGTCGAAGCGGCGGCCCCAATGACACGCTGTGCCCTGCAAGCGGATAGCGTGTCGCTCCACTCCGCTGGACGGGAGGCTGGGAAATGCCTGGGACGTAGATACTTGGGGACTCGGACGTGGTTAGCGTGCCGCGCTGAAGCGTAGTGGACCAGAACTGGCGGCGCGGCACGCTGAGTGAAAGTCCCCGGCCGTGACAGAATCTCTCGGACACTGGCGCCGATTTCGTGCGTGGACGAACCCAGCTCAGCGCAAACCCCCCAAGCCAAGATTAAGGCCACCTCAACGGCCGCGAGCGGCTCCCAAACCGAACTGAGCCAACGCCTGGCCTTGCAGGGTCCTGCAGGATCTGGCGCTCTGGCAGAGCCTCGTTTACGCACAACTCCGTTACCGCCACTTGGCGATTTCTTGGGCCAGCGCCAGACCCACCTCCCCACGCCACGCCGGAGCGCTTCCTGGTCAGGCGGGCCGCTGGAGCACTCCACCGACGTGTCGCGACGGCTCCAGCATCGGCGTTCAATCTTCAACGATCGACGGCCTCTCGATCGGGCAGAATCGGCCGATGTCGACTGATTCTGGGCCACCAGCGGGCGGCGTTCAACCTTGAACGCCCGCAGGTGAGGTCGCCACCGCTTGCACTCCACAGGCAACGCGGAGGTCTAGATTCCAATGCAGCCAGGCAGCTTCCTGACCTCCAAGGGAGCAGAGGAGGAGGAGGAGGAGGAGGAGGAGGAGGAGGAGGAGGAGGAGGAGGAGGAGGAGGAGAAGGCGTATCGGCTGAGGGCCGCCCCTGGGGATTGGGGGGCAGCCCTCCCGCCGTGGCCTCACGCGTGGCCCTCGGCCCGCGCGCGCCATAGCCCGCGGACATCCGCGGCAGCGCTGCCTGCAGGCGGCGCAGCGCACCCGCGGCCCAGCCGCGGCCACTGCGGCATCGCCGCGGTCACGCCGCCATCCGAGAGGCGGCACTGGCGGGGTTCTCGGTCAAGAGAGCCCGCCTGGCATCGACGTGAAAGGAGAGCCCGCGGACAAGCGCGACTGCTCGTGAGGGCGGTCAGCGCTCGTGAGCTGCTCCAACGTCACCACAGCGCCCAACAACCACGGCGCCGGTCCGACTGTGTAGAAGACATGGCTGGTACCTGGCAGTGTGCGTGTGGGCGACACGTATCAGAGCGGCATTGGACGTGCCGAAACTGCAATGGCCACTACAACCAAAGGAGACGACGCCCTGCATCGCGGGGGCGACCGCCACAGCAGCAAGCAGCAGGTTCTTCCACCCCGAGGTGGGCCACCCAGCCCGAGCCCCTGGCGAAGAAGCTCATTGCCAAGACACTACCTCTCCCGAAGAGCGAGGCAGAAGCGCACAAGGTCTACGAGGTTTATGGCAAGCCTCCCACAGACCCAGCCGCGCAGCGCCAGTACAAAGACGAGATCAAGAGCCGCGCATACGATGTTGCCAACCTCATTTGTGCAGCCAGGCGGGCCAACAAGCCCTGCGACCAGGAGCTAACAGAAGTTGCGGCACTCAAGTTCCTTATGGGACTCACCGAGAAGCGCAAGGACCAGATCCAGGCCCTCAAGGACAAGAAGATTACGTACAAGGAGAAACTTGCCAAGATTCGGGAAAGCATCAAAGAGTTCAAGCAGCAAGAGAAACTGGTCGAGACGGAGATCGCCAAGACCGACGTCTGCATAGCCGAACTGGAGGGGGCCCCAGACTCCGAGGACGAAGAGCCCGACGACGTGGCCCTCGACCATCAGGCAGCGGACGGCCCATCTTCGCACAATGTGGCACCACCGCCGCCCCCACCAGCAGCGCCTGGCAATCAAATGGCTCAGATACAAGCACAGCTCGCCATGCAGCAAAGCGTAATCAGCCAGCTGTTGGGACTAGTGCAGCCAACCGCGGGGCCATGCATACAGGGCGTCCCTGGAGTTCCTCCGCCCGTCACGGGCGCGGTTCTGCCACCGCCTCCAGCACATCTGATCCAGCAGATGCAGGCCATCACGCAGGGCAGCTTCCTTTCCCAGCAAGTTTTCAGCCAGCCTCAGCAGACCCAGCAAGTGCATCAGGGCACGCCGGCGAGATCCAAGTCGGCCATGGGCCAAGCCTACATGGCGGCGAAAGGGAAAGGCAAGGACGCCAGCGCAGCAGGGGTGACCCCAGAGGCGGCGGTAGCCCCCATGGCAGTAGATCAGAAGGGAGCACCGCCTACAACGGCGAACCTTGCAGCGCCGACCCTAGCCCAGGGGCCAGCGCACCCGCCAGCCCCGCTCCCTGGAGGGCCAGGCCCCCACATATCCCAGCACGAGCTGTTCCAAGCCATTGCGGCAGCAGAGGCCGCTGGGATCGATCATCCGACCCCAGAGACGGGGGGCTACAAGGACCCAGCGACCATCTGGGAACTGCACGCCCAACTGGAGGCAGCAAGGAGAACGGGAGCGAGCCAGGCGGCGGTCACCGTGCAGTCGTCTCCGACCCAGCAGGTGGCACCGACCCCGCCAGCAGACTCGCAGCCAACCATAAGCCCACAACTGCAGGGGTTGGACAGAGTTGTGCAGGCCGCCACGGACGCATTCTTCCAGAAGCAGCGAGAACTCCAGGAGCAGGCGGAAGCAGCCAGAATACCATGCCCAACCTCTCCGCCCAGAGCTCCCCTGCACCGCAGCTCGCCTACCGAGCACTCCGTGCCAACAGTAGTGCCGAGTCCCAGCTCGCCACCAGGGCAGGCAGCCCAAGGGCAGCCACCAGCGGTACCATCTCCCACGGAGGTCGAGGTTCCCAGCCAGATGCCTTCACCGTCGGAGCCTACGCTGGTACGCAGCCCAGCCTTTGCCACAGCAGCGGGGTGTTCACCTACGGCGCCATTCCTTCCGGAAGCATACGCGCCAGGGTTCCACTCCGCCCCGACTCAGCTAGCAGCATCGCAGACCCAACCAGAGACCCAGGTAGCAGCACAGGTGCCTCCAGCACCAACAACGCCCGAGCGCCACCAGACAGCAGGACTCAGCCCCACATCGCCAGCCGACCCAGCGTACGGCCAGAATGCGCACGACTGGGGGCCGCTGGGGCAGCCACCAAGGAAGTCGGCATGCGCACCAGGCACCATGAGGGACGACATCTGAATTTTCTCTCAACAGTCTCGTGGGAGGGCATCTTCTTCCGTTCGCAGGCCCAGACGGCACACGACGATGAAGAAGGAGATCAACATCTACCCCATCATCTGAATGAGCAGAGTGAGCCACCCGCCGCGAATTTTGAGGGATTCAAGGGACAAGAAGAGTCCCCCTCGCCCTTGGCTGGCCCACTGGAGCTCTCAACCCCATATCGTCTTGGCGCCCCGGGGGACCCAGGGGGCCAGTGTGGGCCCAACAATGCAACCGTCAGCCTGCCAGAGGCTGACTTCTTTGTTCATGCCGACCCTAACGCTGATGGGGAGGCTAATACCAATTCGATAGATAATTTCGCGGCTGCGGGGAAAAGTACCCACGGCACTCAGGGGGCCCCCCCACCGCATGCTCAGATGAATGTTCAGGAATATTTTGATTTGGGTTCTGGCGCGACGCCGCTGAAACCGCAGGACCTGAGGCGGCGTCTGCGGGAGAAGCAGGCACCTCCGCAGATTTACAGGGAGCCCCACAGGGCCCAGAATTATGACGGGGAGACTGCCATTGCATGTACCCTTCCGATCCCCCCCCTTCCCGACCCACTTGGGGCTGGCCCCATCGTCGCCGCGCAGCTGGACGTGGCCCGAAAGAACCGCGTCGCTGCCGCTCCGCACCCTGTTGCTTCGAGGAGTTGCCTACTGGGATCTTGGCTCTATGTCAGAGGGGCCCTGGATTCATATCCTAAGGCGCTCAAGCATTGGCCTACGGATCGCTTCAACGACATTATTTTGCATCCGCATACTTGGTACGCCTTAGCAAGCACTAGCCCTGCCGATGCCCCCGAGCCCGTGAGGGCCTGGACAGATGTAGACGGATCTCTCGACCTGTTACGGA